CACAATAAAACCAAAGCTTTGTTTTGTCTCTTCAGAAATATGATTTGATATGTCGTTTTTGCAACTTATTATAAAATATCTTATATTACTATATAGTGAGCAGACTCAAGAAATAGGCCTTTCTTTCTATACAAAGTATATTAGTTAAGAAAATTAATTCCTGGAACATGAAAACACAGAAAATAGAATATAGTGGAAGTAGAACAGATTTAATAGCAAACTGTGCCTATCCATACTTGAGTTTGATTTTTCTAGTTTCATGTGATGAAAAGCACTGTCGTCATTGCAGTGTAGTTATCAAGTACTTCACAGGAAAGTCCTAGTATTAACCAGGGTAAATTTCAGAGGTCTCTGGGTTTTTTAAGGAGTTTATTTTCTGGTTTTTTGTTGTTTTGTTTTTCTTGTGTGTGGTTTTGGTTTGTTTTGTGGGGTTTTTTTGCAGGAGCGGGATTAAGAAAATAAACTACAAAGATACTTCAGAATTTTGTTTTAGTTGCACTTATCCTTTCAAGATAGGCATGTTCCACGTTAAAGTATTTTGGTCGATTGAAGCATGTGAATTCTGTTCATGTAAACTCAGAATGTCTTCCAGCTTCAGTTGTAGAGGGATTATCTTTGTTTTCCCTAAGAGAGAGTTCTAATAGCAGAATTTTAGCATGAAAACTGGGGGCTTTTTAGCCTCCGTGGTCTCAAGAGGTAGGCTTTATACAGCATGCTCTGTACGTGTTGCTTCTGAGCACATCCGTTTTTGTGACAGAGTCATTTTGCCCTGACTAGTACTGCTTCCTTTGCTTACCATGAGCTTGCCGGGTACTGGTAGATTTGTCTTCCATGGCCGTTGTTTGGAAACATGTATAAATATATATTTTAAATATATATAGATACCTATTTTAGATGTATATATAAAAAACCTTCCAATTTCAGTGAAAAAAGAGAAAAGGGAAAAAAAGATAAAAACCCAGAGCTGCTGTTGGTTAAAATAAAAGTTTTGAGCCTCAGATGTGAGGTTACTGTGTGTTTAACATATGATAATTTCTTTCAGATATGATGTTATCAAAATGACAATGAAAGTGCTCAGCACTTACATTTTGTAATGGTAACTGATTTTTTTTCTTATTATAAGTTAGAGTAAGGATTGGAGTTTCATTTTGTTTCTGCCTTCTTTACTGTCCATTAGTGATTAGTGGGAGATAAAATGGAAAACAATTTACAGTGAATACACTTAACTGCAGGTTCTGGTGCAGTTGTGCCATGCATTACTGTACTGAGTTTAATTTGATTTCTTCAGTTTTATTTAAAGATGGCTGTTGAGAGCATGTAGAAATCCACCTGCATGACTTGCAATAAATAAGAGGTATACCCACTTTCCCCTGAAATACATGCATCAGTGTAAATAGCAGAATCTTAAAGAAGATGCAAGAAGAGCTATGTGACAGTGCATACGAAGTATTTGGTTAGTAGCATTTGCTTTTTGTTAATTCTCTCTTTCCATTATTAGATAGATGATGGAGAGTAAATTTGATTATTAGGTGGCTTTGTACCGTGACATGAAGTTCCTGATATTTGTGTGAAAATGAAAAGGGATTCCTCTAAAGAGAAAAGACAAACAAGGGAAGTGGGACAGGCACTGGCCTGATTTCAGTGAGGGGAAATTTTATTTATTTGCTTATTTTTTGAAACAGATGGCATTTTACGTTTCTCTTCCCCCAAAGAAGTGGATTTAGGATCACACAAGTAAATGAATGCCTAAAATGGGAATGAGACAGTCCTTTCTGGAGCCAGTTTGGACTGTGCATCAGATGCAGATAGGCGAGATCAGGGCAAAAGAGGGCTTTGTTTGGTGTCCCTAGTGAAGAGTTTGGACAGGAAACATCGTGAGTAGTTGATGCGTGATCTTCAGGGCTTGCAGTAAGGGGGGAAACATCAAACCTGGCAGTTGGCAAAGAAAAGCCGAAATCTAGAAGTTTCTTCATCCACATGAGAAGAACTGGCGCTGAGGCTGTTTACAGAAGATAGAAACATCTGGACTCTGTGACCCTGGTCATAATCCTTTTAATGTTTTCTTACAGAAGCCTTGAGGTCAGGTCATCTGTGCTAGCAGCTTGGTATTAGTATGAGCATTAAGAGCACAGTACCAGAATTGTTAATTCCCCTTTTCAACTCCATGCAAGTCACTACCTAGCTTGTGTCAGTAAAATTTCCTCTGAATCTTCTTAGAAGATCTGGCCAGAATTATTGCTGGCTTGGAGAGGCTGAGCATGTTGGTGTTCTTGTAGTGCATATAAATCAACTTAGTATTCAGGAAGATGGTGTCCTTACGAGTCCTCTGTAGTCTAACAGGCACTCCCAGTAGTGCCTGGTAGACACGCCTGAATGTGAGGTCTGAATGAAATGGTGCCAGTTTGTTTCTTCAGCCATTGCTTTGAGCAAAAGAAAATAGCTTTGTGATAGTGCTTGTCATTTTGTGCAGTAGCTTTGTTGTTAGAGTATTTAGCCAAGAAGTAGGAGTCTGGGTTCCATGTTATTCTGTTACATTTACGTACATGCCAAAACGTACATGAAAGGTGAATATCAGGGGATATCCTCTGCCCTTTTGCACAAGCTTTACCTGTGAGGGGCAAAGTTTCATAGGGCTGAAAAGGTGGATCCGTGGAGAAGGTGAGTCAGTGGCTCAGTGACAAAACATTCACTTAAGAGTGAGGCAAAAATATGTCACATAAGGCATATCTTTGTTTTTCTGGGGAAAAAAGGAAAAGGTGAAAATTATACAGAACTTCTTGCAGTCCATTTCATTTCTCTTAGTAGCATTATCACAATGAGTGCAGCTTTCTGATTTGGAACTTTCCCTGTCTGGAGAAATTTCCTATGAAGAAGCTGCCTGTTTGCCCTGTGCAAGTGGGAGGATGAAGGGGATAATGTTCCATAGACAAAGTGAAAAGGCAGAGGGAGATTGCACAGAATCCAGCATATATCAACTTGAGTTTAAGTAATAAACATTTCCTACTCTTCTCTGTTTCCCTCCAACTTGAGACTTTCTTTTTTAATTGTTGTTGGTCTTTTAAATGCAGAAGAACTGATGCTCATTTACCCTCTGCTGTCTACCACTGGCAGGCAAGTGGCATTAAATGTGTTTAAAAAGTATGTTTAAATAGAGACTCATGCACCTGCTGCCTTTACCTTTCTATCAATCCTCTATTCAAAATAAACACAATACTAGAAGTTTTTAAATAGTTTGGAAGTGGCTTTTTTGCATCACCTAGTAAAATGTTAGATTTTGTTACTTTAGTATACATAAATATTCCACCACAACTCTCTGGATTACTGATACATGCATTTCTCTTTTCTTTTTCTCCCTGCTCCTTCTCACTGTTGTATTGTAGTTTGGGTTTGGGGTTGTTTGGGGTTTTTTTTGCAGAGATTCTTGTGCTTTTTCTTACCTGTTTGCCTTTTCCCCTTGAGTTGGAGCATTTGCATGTTAGTGCTTACTGAAATACTTTGTCGTGAATTTAGAGCAAAACAAATTAAGACCTTGCAGTTCAAGATCATTCGGCTCTGTAGCTGGCTCCACTTGTACAGCAGTTCTGCACACTATAATATGTAGACACTATTAGCACTGGCAGACTGTTCATCATCTGTCTGACAGCGGGTCAACGCTGCGAGCAAAACAGCACTTGGCTACTTGAATTCAAGAATCTAGTATTTTCCCCCCTGGTAAGACCTGGAACCTGGTTCAAATAATACAGACTTTAGAATTTGTGAAATTGTCTGCATTGTGGTCAACACAGCTATTTTCTTGTAACCATTTTCTTTAAAGGAAGTCAAGATAGTTTACACTTGAAGGGTACTTGGACAAATCTAGGACACCTATTAACTTGAGTCAAGCTGGAATTGTTGTGAGAAGTTGAGCATTTGCTTCCTGACTGCTGGGAAAGGATTTTGCTTTCAGGTAAGTCTGGAAATAGGCTTGCTTCCTACTTACATTTGCATTAGACTTTTAGCAATTGCAGAGTGGAATTTACCAGTAATAAAAACATTATTATTACATGTGCTGAAGGATTTTTGAGAAGTCTTACAGATTTCTTTTTGGGGGAGCTCTGTGTGTGTGTGTGCTTGAACTGAATTTCTTGCCTGCATTTCCCAAGAGAAGCAGTGCTTTATCTTCTTCATTCCCACCACCCATATCTTTGAACATCCCTTTTTTCCCTTTACTCTGTCTTCTACCTTAAAACTAACCACTGTGCCCTTTGAGGACACTGGATTTTTTTTTCACAGTGGATGTATGTGTCATTCATGTTAGATATCAAATGGAAGTACTGAGGTTGCGTTAATGGTCCTGTGGGCTGCAACCTTAATTGCTTGGAGGCACCGTTTGAGGAAGCAGTGTACCCTGAGGACACTATGTCCTTAAAAGGATAGGAAAATTGAGTCCTTAGCACGAAATGGTTTCTGTCCAAGAAATGTATTCAGGTCTTGCTTAAATAAGAACACCAAACACTCCATGTTTCTTGCTGTGCCTGTAGTCCTAGTTATCCTATAGATACATGATTTGGCAGTCAGAAATAAGTGTGTTGTGGCATCTCACAACATTGTCAAGTAAGTTTAAAGAAGCATGTTTACTGACTTCAGCAAAAGCTTTGTTTGTTAAAATTCTGTCATGAGCATGAAAATAATGTCTGTTAAGTAACATAAATTTCTGGTTTATTATAATCAGGTGCTCTGAGCTTGGTAGGACTGAATTCTGAATACAGAATCATACTCCATATTTATATTGCAGTGGTTTATTTTAAAATCTGGATGAAATAGATTGAAGAGAGAAGAGTTTGTGACAGTGTGGAGAAATGCAATCAATACAAATTAACTTACCTAACATTTCTAGTGTAGACACATCCAATATGGTGGTAGCATTTCATCACTAAAGAACAAAAGATGTTGATAATTTGTAGTTGTTTAATATCTTCCAGGTTATTGGAGATGGTGATTTGAAGAATCAGGTTTTCGATATGAACAAAGCAAAAACTTCATCTGAAAAAAGGTAAATTTAAAAATATAGTGACTTCTTAACATAAAGCTATTTGAGATTTGTGAAAAAGCAATCTATATCTTAATAATAAGATAAATAAAGTACACATTATGGTCCTTAGTGAAAATGTGTAAGCTGATGTCCTGAAACACTGAGGGAGTCAATACTGATTAGCATAAAGTAGCTTCACATTTAATAAATAACTTAAATTGAAAATTTTCAGGTAATTAGACATATTAAAATATAAAATACACATTAAATTTCATTGAAACAAGTAACAATTTAACCATTTCATGTAAATATTGGCAAAAAATAAACCGGTTTCTATTGAAGGAATTAAACGACAAGTTTCTAATACTGTATAAGAAGCCATGAATTTGTCATAAGATCTATATCATTCTCCAACAACTTGCAATCCAACACACAGCTAGGACAAACAAGAGTGAGATTACAGAAGAGTCCAAGAGTTGAAAAGTTGTATTTGTTATTTTCATGATAATTCTTTTTAGCAAATACTTGAAAAAGTTATGAGATTATCTATGGAAGGCATCCTGTCTATTAAGCATCAGGGTACTATTGAAAGGCTTTCAGTCTTAGTCTTTTCTTAAGCTAGCACAGGTTAAACCACCTTGTTAAACCGCCTAATCAGATTTAAAAAAAAAATTCTAAGGCAGTAAAATAGGGAATTTTGGCTTCAGTCTTAGTTCTCTGAAATACCGATTATTTTCTAAATGAGTGGATGAGTTCACATGAAGGGCATGCTGTGTTGTGGATTAATTTTATATCTTGGATGAATTTAAAATTTGAATTTAAATGCTTGCATGTAAAATCATCTTTGCTTTTGCTGACTCTAACAGTGGAACAGCTTAGTATCAGAGACGGGTTGTTCCTGTTTGTGTGAGAGATGGATCAAAAGAAATAGTAAAGAAACTGTTATGTTTTCTACTTGCAGTATTTTCCGTAGGCATTATGATAAGCAAAGTCAAACTCTCCGTCGGCAGTGAGTATTCTTCGAAATACTACTTACTATAATACATAAAGTATACTATCACAAAGAATATTAGATTTTTGCAAAGTGGCTACTTAAGTGCCATTTATTCTTCTTTAGTTATTGAGTTAAAATGAAAGTTTCCATCCCTGCAATTCAAAACAGTTGTTCCCTATGTTATGAATAAATTATGGTCAATTTATTGCACAGAGATAGCTGTGAACTAATCAAAAGTATCAGCTCTCTAAAGATTATTTGATAACTGTAGAGGTGGTTGAGAAAAAAAGATATTTGGAAATGGTTTGCATTGGAATAAAATGAAAACAAACTCATGAGAAGCCTGCCTACTTTAAAATAGTTATTTGAAGGCTCACTATAACATGCTGAACCACAGAAGACCTGTTTCTTTGGGGAAGAAGACGCTCCCTGGATACGTCAGTGCGCTGGCTGACTGCAAACAGCAGTTTCAGAAGAAGAAGGTACAATTAGGGAACTGAATGTTTCTGATGACTTCCTTCATTTGACTATTACCTTTTGGAAGGCTTCTTGCAAGATGAATAGCTGAAAACCATTCTAAGATAACTGAATTTTTATAAGCTGCCATGACAGTCATTAGATCGATCTTTCTCATCGTGAGCAGACACTTAGAAAGATGTAATGATGTTTTTTTAGCATTTGTGTAGCGAAAGTGAGTAATGGAGATTTGTGAATCTAGCACTTCTTCATAATCACATTAAAGATGCTTAAACCTTTTGGGAGTTCGTGGAACTGGAAGAAATGTCCCTGCAGTCGAGGGAACTTTCTTTGAGAAAATATTTTCTTGTTGAGGGACTTCTCTTTCAAACGTAAATCCCTGAAGTCCTGTGTTCCTCACTGTCTGGGCAGTTCCTTCTTCTATATCTACTCATAGCTTTCCTAACCAGAGAAGGAGGAAATCCACAAAGCTTTCTCGTTAGCTAGAGTCAAGCTGTATGCTTTGGCAACAGTTGAGATGACGGCAAGCTTGTTCATGCTTCCTTTCTGCAAGTTAGATGGTGATGTAAGGGGTGTTTTGAGCTGCAGTGTTTGAGCATGGGATGGAGAAAGGTTTCCTGTCTATGGAGATATGCAGTCTATGGGATCAAGTAAGCCTGGTAAACTTCCCTTCAGGATGCTTAAATAAAGCGTAAATCCATCCCAGAATAATAATTATTGATTGTCTTCAGAACTCATGAGATTTAGGTTAAATAGTGAAGAACAGATGGCAAACCTAGTGGTTGTGTCTGTGGGAGTCAGGGAGCAGTAGCTATAAGTCGGCCGTCTTCTCCTCTTTGCACAGAAGGATCCTGGAAGAGTTAACCAAATGGGTGAGGCTGTGAACAGCCAAAGGTGGTTTGAGTTGTTCTTGAAAATACATCTGAATTTTCATGTGTCAGAGAGTAACAGGTCTCATGAGCAGTGAAGTGGCATTAAAATATGACACATGGTCAAAGCTTTACTAAAATAACCACTGCATGTGATTGCCATCGGTAAGCTAAGGCAAGTGCTCTGTCCAAGTGCTCTGGAGTAGAGCACTGAGTGGATACCAGAGCAGTGGTAGCCAATGGCTGTCAAATCAGAAGGAAATGGAGCACAGTTTCTTTTTGGGTGTGCTCTTGCTTTCTCTTTCTGGTTCTGGTTACAGTTAATGACTGAAAATATTTTGAGCTTTGACTAATGATCTGAAAAAGAAGAAAGAGTTCTTGTTAAAATTACAGACAGCTTGAAACTGGAAATCTCTGCAAAAATAGTGGAGGACCAAATGATTTAAATATACTCTTGTGAAATGCAGAAAATGGTTAAGAATATTTGATGGAAATGTATGCAAGGTACCATGCTTAGAGAGTTACACTGCTGGAATGGACAGGGGACAGTCACATTTGTAGTGAGGAGAGGCAGAAATTATAAGATTGAACTGCAGGGTGGAAAAACTTTGAAATGAAGGGATACAAAGTTGCCTTTGGTTATTGAATCACCATTTTTGTAGGCTTTTAAGGACTGGTTGAGCTGTCAGGAAGAGCAGCTGTGATCTTCATCCAACTCTGAAGAGAAGAGTTTAGGTGACCTTATGAAGTTTCTTCTGGTGCTCCTTAATCATGATTTTCGTAACTGAAGATAGTAGAGACTCTATGTAACTAACCCTCAGTGACTGCAGAGTGCTCTTGTGAGAGAGCTTTAGAAAGGCTGGGGTGAAAAATGTCTCCTGTAGTAACAACAAGGGTTTCTTCACATTGTGGGAAAACAAGTCTTGTACGAAAGGCTGGCCACAGTGTTCAGAGTATTCATGTGAGGTTCTGCAGTGTCAGCAGCTTAAGAGGAAATGTAGCTCTGACAGGATAGTTTTTAGTGTGCCATTCTGACTACTTCCTTGGTTTACCTAGCTGTTGGATTAAAAATACTGAATTCTATAATGCCTTTCTGTTTTGGAGAACTATCTTCTAGATTGGATTCTGAATGGTTTGTTGGTCAAAATTTTTTTTTGTGTATTTGCATTACAAATATCAGAAGGAGTCCCATTGCAAACTGGGCGTGCATTTTGTTCATAGGTCAAATGGGTCGTCACAGCAGTGTTACGTACAGGAGCACAGTAAGTTAGACTGGCTGCCGTAATTCCTGTCCTACAGCCTTTTTGATACACTGTGCAGAGATTGCAAGCTGTTGCAGTTTTACAACCACTATGTATGTTAGTGTAGACTATTAATAAATAAGAGTACAATTCTTGTTTTAAGAAGAAAACTTAGTCATAGCTAAGGGGAAGTCAGGACTCTATATTTCAGCATAGATTCTGGGCTGGTGTTATTTTTAAAGAACGCTTTATTGGGTATGCTGAAGACATGAAGTTTATTTGGCTGTATTTCTGTTAGAGGACTTCTTGCAAGATGAATAGCCTAAGCCAATTTTAAAGATATCTCTTTAACTGCTACAATGAGTGCTTATTGCTCTTGATAGAAGCTCTGGCCTCAGGAGGAGATTATACCCCTGAATCTTAGGACTTAAATTGTTATACCACCCAGTAGTGAGAATGGCTTACCTTTCTAAATCTTTTAAAGCTTTTGGTAAGTATGGAGAAATTAAGTTAGATGCTAACTTTCTGTACAGAGTATATTACTTGCATGTGCCAGTGTTGCTTGATTTTTGTAGGCCACAGCAGTCAAAAATCAGGTTTGCTCTGAAATTTTAATATCCATAATTGAGTTTTGTCTTTACAAAAACTTAGATTTTCTTTTCTTGCTTGTTTCTAAGGATTATCTTTGCTTTGAGCTGTTTCCAGCTTTCAAACTACATGTATTTCATTGTGAGACCAATGATATGCTACAATGGAAATTATATGCATACACACACACATACACACACACACACACACACAAATCAAAGCAAGCAGTTCTCTTACATGTTGGCTTATATGTGGGTTGGATGAATTTTTGTTTTGATTGTGGAGCTGGTGAAGATAACAACATCCTTTGGAAGTTTGTCAGTTTGTGTACCAGATCAACAGAGCTAGTGGATTTCATTAAAATCTTGGGATTATTTTGGAGTATTTCAAGTTCAATGGATAAATGGAAGAGTAGAATTAAACAGAAAAAAGCTTATGCAAATAATAATGGGTTTACACTATTCAGCCTGGTTTTGGATGATGAGAAAGGATTGGAGGGATTATGCTTTACTTATACAAGGAAAATAATATTTCAGCAACCAAACCAGATTTTAGATCAAAAAAAATACTTTTATTTAAAAGTCTAGCAAATAACTGAGAAGGTGATATACTTTATAATATAAAATTATTTTGATTTTAGCTTTATAATTAGTATAACCATATCTTATTACTGATGTTAACAGCTTGTAAGAATCATCTGTAATCTGAAATTGTTTTTTGGTTATGCTTCTCATGTAGATATCAGTGTGGAAAAATGAAAGTGGTGGAAGTGGTTTCCACAGCAGCTGTTATATCCATTTGCTTTCATGACAGTACAACCTTTCCTGTCAGCTACCTTTTTCCCTTGATTTTTAACATTTTTGTCCACATACAAACTAATTATTTTAGCAGACTTAACTGTAAGTGTGAAACCTTTTTACAGATGTAAAGCACAAATCAAGGAGTAATAATTCCTCGTTGTAATAAACAAAACTGACAGTATTTATATAACTAAAGTATATAACTTTAGTTTTATTGCAGGTAGACCAGTATATGTGTAAAATGAATTATTGTTGCTTATTGCAGGACTCCAGTGTTACAAAAGTGAAAAGTCAAGATAATTAATCCTTGGAAATCATAATTTCCTGCAGTTAATTACATGACTGTAGTTCAAATGTTAAACATTTGCCAAAAATTACTTTCATGTGGGAATGTGAATCTCAAAACTGTTTTGAATAATTGTTATGATCTAAAACTGGAGAGCAAGTAAAACAATTTCTAGGCTATTTTGAATACTATAAATATTTACATTCGTTCTTTCTCTGTAATCTACTTATCTATATGAATGGCTGGTTTGAAATTGTTTCTTATATTAAAATACATTTTCAAGGCAATTTTATGATGTCAAGCCCAAAATACCCTTGTGTTCAAAATGAACACAAACTCTGATGATGATAACTTCCAAAGTTTTTTTCTTCAAAATGATGTTCTCTTTGTTCAGCTGGGGAATGTTACTTTGCCTGCTTCATGAATGATAATCTTTTCTTTCACTTCTGAAACACAAGCCTGTAAGACAAACAGTCTTTGGTACTGTTTGTAGCCAGTTTTTCCTTGAATGGCAGGTTTGATACCGTGTCCTGGCACTTATCATAAACTGTATTAAATATAAGTTACTCCAATCGACAAAGATAAATAACATTTGTACCTATATCTGGATTTTATTTGCTGCAACCAATTTTCTGTTCACAGTTGCTCTTGGAGTTGCTGTTTTATATGTAATTAGTCTGTTGCAATGCAGGCTTTGCAAAATCTGTAAATTTGCCAGAATTAAGGAGAATTAAGACTACTTTCCAATTGAGATCAAATATGAAGGTGAACTAGCCACTCCCCTTACTCTGACGTGGGATTTCTGTTGCTAGTGGGCTTTTTCCTGATCTAGATGGAAAAATGAATGTAAAAAAATTTTTCTTACAGTGTTTCTACCAGTTCTCGGACTATGTCTCTGCTGTCACAGCTGGAGAAGATAAATGTGGACTCTGTACTAGGAGAAGCAGACAATGCCAGATATGTTACCTCAAAGATCCTTCATCTGGTGCAGAGTCAAGGTAAGTATCTAAGTTCAGTGGATTTAGAAGTTTTCCTTTTGAGCCTGCCTTCTTGTATTTCTTCCTCGCTGGACTTTTCTTTAAACTGTTTCTGTTTGGTAAAGCTGATTATCCATCCATTTTTGTCACTGATTGTTGAAAGCACCTGTTTAAGGCCAAGTTTAATACTACCTGATGTAGTATTGGTTACATTGAGTGCATTTTGTATTGTCAAACAGCTATAATTTAAGTAATAATTCACAGTGTGTATGTATATATATGTGTGTGAGTGTATATATGTGAGAAACAGAAGTATCTGGAAGAGACCTTTCTTAAAGATTTTTTTTCTTTGCAGTTTTTTTTTCTAGGGCATGACAAAATTGTTGAACAAGTGAAAGCGGAAGTGAGTTTTAAAATCACTGAAGTCTTTTGCTTAGTTTTATATAACCATATGCAATTTTTAATAGGTTTTCTAATTTGCAGTGTAGATTTTCTGATAGATCTATATCCGATCACTTTTTTTTTTCCCTGCAAGCTAATATATTAAAAAAAAAATGGTCTTTTTGTCACTGGCAGAAAAAACCAGGAAGGAGATGACTTCTAAGGGCTCCACTGGAATAGAAGTTATCCTGTCAACCTTAGAGGTAAAACCTTTTAATCTGTGTGGTTATGGGTACATAGCAAGTTTTCATTTTATCATGGGCTTCCTATTATTGTCTATGTTGTTACACTAGCTAGTCTGTAAAACTTGTGTGAGACTGTAATGATTAACTATGGTCTTTCTCTCTCTTGTTTTTAAATACTCTAAGAAATTATTTGTCAACTACCACTTCTAATTAATATGCCATACTGCAAACTAGATTTTAATTAGTTTTGTGATTGATTCAGGCTGCATAGTGGGATGGTTAGGTGCGTGGTTGCATCTTCAGTTCTGTTTGATTTACTGGTGGCAATTTCTCTGAGCTTTAAGTATCTAAACCACTGTATTAGGCTGCTACATGAAGCAAAAAATTCTAAAAGTTCTCTCTATTTTTATTGCAGAATACAAAAGATCCTCAAACTATTCTAAATATATTGAATATTCTCATTGAGGTAGTCTCAGTTGGTAAGTTTTAATTAAGGAGCAACTTGTGATTATATTCCTGTATTCCTCTGCAGACTGTTGTTGTTGGGTTTTTTGTGGTGTAGTGTTTGGGTTTTTTTTTTTCTTCCTCTGATGTTTGTTAAAGCTGATTTACATGCAGAATAAAAAGAACATAAAGACTGAAGTCACCTTTCAAATAATCGTACACAAATAATTTATGTTGCTATAAGTCTAAGTCCAGCATGTTCTTGCATAGTGCATTCATATATGAAGAAAATATTGCTGTTCTAAGGACTTTCTTTATGATAATTGTAGCTTAAATACTTAATTGTTCTTTGGATTTGGAGATATCAGTTGAGTTTTAATTTCTAGGTGGCGGTCGGAGAGCAAGTGTCTTAGTCACTAAAGGAGGGACACAGATTTTATTGCAGCTGCTTTTGACTGCCAGCAAAGATTGTCCACCAAATGAAGAATTAATGGTGCTTCTTCATACTCTTCTTGCAAAAATTGGTCCAAAAGGTGATAATGATATACTTAAGTAGTATGGCTTAATCCTTTACAGTTTTATAATTGAAACTTAAGAACAATTTTCTTTCTATTATTGTACAAGCATCCACATACTCAGAATTGGTAGAGGAGAAAAAAAGGAAGAGTAAAATAGAGGGGAGGAAAGAATGGTGAAAAGTAGGCAGGAGGAGTTGACATCAGTAGAAGGAATTCACAGTTCATTTAACTTTTATTTTTTGATAATAATTTCAAAATTAGAGTGATTGATCTTGTATTTCTTTGATGTCAGACAAAAAGATTGGCATGAAAGCAAGAATTAATGGTGCCCTAAACATATCATTGAATTTAGTGAAGCAAAATTTGCAGAACCACAGACTAATATTGCCGTGTCTTCAAGTATTAAGAGTTTACTCAACCAACTGTAAGTATTGCAGATAATTCTCTTCTTTCCTATGTGATAACATTTTTGTTTATCTAGATGTGGTTAAAACATTGTATCTAAATGTTTGTTTAATGTTAGAAGCTTAAAATAATTATCTGAGAATTTGCTTTTTTTATCATTGGATTGCTTACATTCTAATAAAAGCTGTGAAGCATGTTTGTACTTGTGTATCTTTGTTTTTCATTCAGTGTGTGTGTATGTATAGATATAGTTGAGTGGAATTTTGAGTCATCTAATTTGCATAAGTGCTGATGCTTTAAGATCTAAATCAGAAATGCTAACATTGTGCTTGCAGAAGCACTTCAAATTAAATAATTAATCTCCTTCTTATACATGCTCATGTTTGGATTTTGGTTTTTTTTTACTTTTTATTATATTATTTCATTTATGATTGCTAATTTAAAACTTGGTTCACATAGGAAATGTTTTATTTCTTTATTTAACCTTTCTCTTGTTCCTTGTGTTGAAGTGCCCTACTGTTGGACTAATATTCTTCCACAAGAGCCTAATTCATTGTTTGGGCAGTCAGTAGGAAGTCTTTGAAAATAGTGTGGTTCTTGCTGTATCTCTGCTGTCGGTTAGTTGCTCTTAAGTTTTTCTGTTGAGCTCAAAATGGCCGTTAAACCTCTTAAATAAATGTGAGCGATCAAAAACTTAACCACATTTCTCCAAGAGAAGTGATTTGGTGATTTATAAGATTATCTTTTCAGCACATTCACATGAACACCTATAATTCATAAAGTCCCAATGCTTTTAAAATGTGGAAACTTTATTTCTGTTGAGCTGTCTGATAATGATGTAAAATGCTTCTAATGGAAGAGTTTAATACAGAAAATTACATAGCTTAGCTGAAAACGTGCTTCATCCTGAAAATGGGAAATTGAACTGAGTCGCTAGTTTGGATTCTACTTAGATCAATTCTGTCTTTCTGTATTTGCCACTCTTTATAAACAGAAAAAGTAGTAGTTTATTACATTCCAATGGGTAGTACTATTTAAAGTTTATGTACAGTTGCTACTGGAATAGTCGTAACTTTTCTTAGATTCTACTGGCGTAATGTTGCTGCTAATGATGAAATTGCAAGTTGGGTTCATGTACTAAATTCTACACTAATAACAGCATTTGTTATATTGAAATCAGTTCTCTTTCTACTTTGTTAGGACTGCATATTGCTAAACTCTGTCAGGAATTGAATTTCTGTGCCTTTCTTGAACACGGGTCTGAGCATCATTTCTTTTAATTTGCTCCATTTCAAATATATATATATTTTTTGTTTTGTTTTGTTTTTCGGAGAACATGTCTACGTAACATGTAGTTCAGGAAAGCTTATACCAGTCGGCATTTCTGAATTTTACAGTGAATGCTTGGCTTTCAAATCGTGGTGGCCATACCTGTCTATCCTGGTACTGAAGGATAATAGCAAGTCATAGAACTTGTTAGACTTGAAATTTTAGAAACCCTGCTGCCTTGATAAACTGTGAGATTTTTTGGAAGAAAATTCTTTTTATGAGGTATCCTAATTACAAAGAAAACAGAAGTATGCATTGGAAGTAGTACATGATTTTATTTGTAAAGTAATAACAAATTTTTTCTTCTTTTCCAACTTTTATCAGGATTGGATTATCACACTAATTATGTGCAGAGTAGTGTCTGCTTGTCGTTGTATGTCTTAAAGCACAAACATGTCTTAACAGGTTTTGTACTTCAAAATTAACTCGCATGGATTTTAGTTTGAATGTATTGATTTTTTTTCTTTTGCCTTTCTTACTGCATTCTCTTAAAATGGGTTGTTTGTTTTTAACTCTTCCAGCTGTAAATGCAGTGTCCTTGGGAAAGAATGGAGTAGTAGAACTGATGTTTAAGATCATTGGGCCTTTTAGTAAAAAGAACACTAGCCTTATGAAGTAAGTAATGTCTCTTTTATGTTGTACATGGAAAAACCTTAGATACATTTCAAAACTTAGTTGTAAATGAAAAATAATTTTAGATAAACCAAATGTAACACATATTTGAAAGTTAACGTGAAGGGAGGTGGGAAGGAGAACCAACTACAAATCTGGCAGTTTATTTTTACCCAGTAGAGAAAGACAAAATATTTGAATGTCTAGTTACAGTACTGGCAAAAGAATATGAATGTGGGGTTTTTTGTCTCTAATATTCCTGCATGGAAACTGTACAATGGTTATCTCCAAATCAGGACAAACTGATCAAGACAATCCCATCGTTTTTCAATTTGTTGAATTGGCTCCCACATCTTTTTTATGTTTTTTAGAGTGACACTATCTGTTTTATTTTGTAATAGTTTTCTTTCTATTTTACTTCAAAGCAATTATAGTCTCTCAGAGCAAAAACATAAAACATAGGATAGGAAGCATCAGCAATATCTGTCTAGTGGACTACTGTGGGTTTTTTAAAAAAAAAATCTACTGTGGACCTGAAAGTGGTGACTTTGGATATTTTTTCCCACCTGTGTATTTTTTTTAATTGAATTTAGGGTAAAAATAGATAAGTGGATCTAACTGGAGATAGGCCTTTCTTTATACACTGCCACCATTTTGCAGTACATACCTGTGGAAAATGGAATTTTTCATCTGATTAACAAACTAATAATCTCATGTTGTTCATATTGTACCTTCAGTACAAAGAAAAAAATAGTGTTATGTTATCTAAATCTAGTATTTGTGGTCACTGGAGTATGTTTTAAAAAAATGCCCTGCCTCTTTAAGCCCCGGCTAAAATTAGACATATGAACTTACGATTCCATGATGTGAGTAATCATGATATCCTTGTTTATGGTCTAAGATCAGATGCGTGAAGTCTATCTTTACAAAGAGGGTAACAATAAGTATATACATTTTCTAGTTGTACATCTTCAGTTAATTGAGACAAGATTTTTGTGTATAAGAAAAATCTTACACTGACAATCTTGTACAGATTGATGAGTATTACTGCTCAATATATTCATACACTGCCAGTTTTGACCTACACTTTTCTCTAATAGTGTCCTTTGCTTTGTGGAAGTACTTGTTCTGCTGCTAACCTAAAAACATGAGTTTCAGAAGTATCTCATCCATTGAGTATGGTTCATAAACATTATGTTGTCACTTACACTGGTTTTTTGCAAAGGCTGAAAGTTTGTATAGCCATAGCATTGATATTTTTAAATTTCACCATCAGACTTCAGATATCGCAGAGATGCATGATATTTTAGTAAAATCAGATTTTAAAAGCAAAATCTGTGATACTGTGCAACCAGGAAAACATGAGGATAGATGCTAAATAAATCTGTTAGCAGTAAATATTTTGTATAGCTTTACAGCGTTGTAGATTAAGCTTATTGGTTGGTTGTTGTTTTGACTTTTCTTGTTATGTTGACAGGGTTGCTTTAGACACACTTGCTGCATTGCTAAAATCAAGTAAGTGTTTGACTACAAGAAACTGTTTATCTAGTTGAGATATATATATATTTGTGTGTGTGTGTATATATATATATACACAGTAAAACTAGGTCTGTGGTCAAAACAAAATCAAGGCTAGGAAATTTAGAAATAAGGCTACAGTTTTATCTGCTGTCTCTGGTGCTTTAATATTTGCATGGTATATACATATATATGTAATACATAGTTATTGTCTCTTCAGTTATGAAGCAGAACGGCTGCTCTGTTTTTGCAGAACTGATCTGGATCCAAGGTGCAGAAATAGGCTTTTACAGTCACTGGCCTCAGCCCTTCAGTAATGGCTATCTGTAGCTTAACTCCTACGCATCTGCTTTATACATACATCTGAAAATACCTGTTGGATGGCAGGGGGAAATACAGGGTTCCTTCAGGTACCTTTCTGAGTAATTAGGTCTTGGGTCCTAATGACAAGCCTGTCAGTGATGCTTCTGAAGTGGAACCAAGCGTAATGAAAACAGTGGTCTGTTCCCAGACATTGGCTGTCTCTGCTGGCAGCAGTGGATCCTGACAAGTGTCATCTCTGCAGATTTTGCACCAGGGTGGTAACTGACAAGGAATTAAAAACTCATTCTCTCCAAACAGTTGTATAAAAGCTATAGCATTCGTACTAGTTTTAGTGGAGCTGTGTAAGAACTGAGGCGATTAGATTTGCAGGCAACCATTTCAGACCGGTGACAGGAAACTTCTCTACCAATATTACAGGGTGCTGAGTTTTTTCATGTTTGATCAGTGTGATACCTTGGTCTTACACATTTGTGTGTTTACTAATTTTGGAATTTCTTCTTGGGAAATTATATTTCTGAGTTACTGTCAGTGTTCTGTTTGGTAAATTGGCAGTTAAACTTTAATGTTGGGGAAAGAAATTAAATGTTGAAAAGGTGTGTCTTTAAAACAGAAGGTCTTGTGCATTTATTTTGAGATGTCTTATTCAGTCCTTAGGGCGTTTGACATTGTAACTTCCTGCACTTTATATAAGTAAATGTTTTCATAAAAACACTGATCTCCAGTGTGTAGAGTCCAATTGTCATACTGATTATCCAGTATTTAGGGTAGAGGTATTTTAAGGTTATCAAATTTGAATGATAGTTGCTGCAGAACTGTATGGATTACAGGCGGTAAGATGTTTGTTTCAAATCTTGCATCTACACAGTGTACCTGGATAGAGATAGACATGCTTTATATAAACACTTTTTTTTTTTTAATTTGCTAGCTGACAGTATCTTACAGTTGCCTTTAAGTGTATTGCACACTGTTCTTCTGGTAGACCATGAAAATCACATGCGATGTTGTTCTAAAGAATGAAGTGTAGACTACTGGCCTCAGTTTAGATTGATGTAAAACTCTGTTAAGGGTGGCTAAAATACTACTTTAAATGAAACAATCCAGTTACTTGGGTAAAAAGAATAATTTTAACATTGATTTGAAAATAATATTGAAGTCATTGGTCAATTTTTCATTTTCTTTCCTAACTTTTTTTATGAAGAAACAAATGCCAGGAGAGCAGTAGACAGAGGATATGTGCAGGTGCTTTTAACGATTTATATTGATTGGCACCGTCATGATAGTCGACACAGATACATGCTGATACGTAAAGGAGTTTTACAGTGCATTAAAAGCATTACAAACATCAAATTGGGAAGAAAAGCATTCATTGATGCCAATGGGATGAAAATTCTTTACAACACTTCACAAGTAAGTTTATTGCAGGTTTTTTTGTTGTTGTTGCTTTTGCCTCTTAGGCTTTAAAAACACATCCTGACCTCAAATTTGTCATACTTCTTTTATGATATTAATTGTCATTCCTGATTATGGGGATATTATTTTCTGTACTTGACTGAAGCAGAACGAAAGAGTACAGAATTAAATTAATATTTACTATTATTTGGCTGTGACCAAATAATAGTCAAATAGACCAAATAATGCCTGGAAGGGCTGTTGAACTTAATTTAAAAGAGGCAGGGGAAGTTTTAATTTTCAAGTTCGGATTTTTAAGAAAGGTGAATTTAAGTTGGTAGAAGTTCTTCTGGCCTTCAAAGGAGACATTAGCAAAATTTATTGTAAATAAAATACTTTGCTATTAGTGAATTCTAGAAATCTGTAAAACAAATGTAGTTTGACTATTAGTTTGAAAGATACTTTTATCTTGTCTTTGTTATTTTCCTTTTAATAGGAGTGCCTTGCAGTAAGAACTCTTGATCCACTTGTCAACACATCCAGCCTAATAATGAGAAAATGTTTTCCAAAAAATCGTCTTCCTTTACCAACTATTAAAAGTGCTTTCCATTTCCAACTCCCGATTATTCCTTCCAGTGGTCCTGTGGCTCAGCTGTACAATTTGCCTCCTGATGGTATGGTAATGTTGTAATATTTTGTCTTTGAGTATGTCTAAAATTTTCTTTATGTAAGGTGGAATCAATTGCAGTTATTTACGTTCTCCACTAAAACTTGGGACTCTGAGACACTTCTAGCTAGCAAAGGGTCTGTGACTGTTAGTGTGGAGAACCAATTATTTCTGATATTAAGTTTTAACTGATGAAAATTTTGTCTACGTGTATGTTTGAGAGAGAAAATAAACAGGAACTAAAATGAGACGTTCAGCAAACTCTGAAGTATAAAGTATAGGCTGTACATACTAGTCTACAGACTTAAATGGGGTCTCTTTTTAATTCATCATATACATTGTCCTATGTGAAATGTAATGTATACCTTCTATTTTACAGGAGTGTATGTTCCTTGATTTCTTTCTGTTACTCTGATAAACTGGATGTTTTATATAAGTATAAGTATAAGTAACTGATGAAGTTACTTTCAGAGAGTTACTCCAAAATGAAAAGGCAATGTCAGACCTTTTAATAACTTATTCCTGAAACAAAATGTGAAAGATGACAGCTATCCAATCAGGGTTCGTATGGGTCAGACTCAAACTGCATGAGTTTAAAGCTTGTTAATGTTTTGCCTTCAAAGCAGGAAATATGTTGAGAAGTGTGTTCCAAAATCCACAGAAATTAAACCTCTACTTAATACAATAATTTTGGTACCCCATAATACGTATTTAGAAACTTCCTATTCTGTTGAAGTGGACTTCTGATAGTTGGTTCTTTGTTGTTTGTTTTTTTTAAAAATAAGTTTGTTAGCTATTAAAAAAAGAAGTAAAAAACCTAAGGAAATAGGGTACATAGGATTTTCTTTTTAAGGAAAAACTTCTGTATTGAAAGATATGTGAAATGTTGGGGTGGGTACTTTTAAAAGTATAATCTTGTGTAGTCAGCATTGTAAAAGCAATACATGTAATTATTCTGAATACACTAGAAAATCAGTATAATTTGTAAACCTCTCAGTGAGTCTTTTACTCACAATCAGCAATTTCCTGCATGGAGAATGCTTTTTTCAGAAAACATAACAAAAAAGCCTCAGCACTCAAACTGCATGAGATTTCTAGAAAAAGATCAAATTTGCCATTAGTAAGCAGAACATCTTCCAGAATAACCAGTTAATGTCTTCTTCCACATATTAGGGAGTTAGCCTAATTCTCATTAGTCATTTGTGAACAGTTAGTTTGCTTCCCCTTGTTTTTCTTTGTTAAAAATGAGGAAGTCCTAGATCCCTCAATGTACTGGGTCTCTAACTCAAGTAGAAATTAGTCATTAGTGTCCAAATAGTTCCATGTATCTAAAAAATACTATTTTGCTGTATGTTTTCGGGGTAAAATTTAGTTCTCAACCTGTCCATGCTAAGCAGTTGCAGTGACTACTCTCCTTGAATATTTTCCTTACAGGTTGACTGGCCAATGATATGTTTCTGGCTGGTTTTGTTGTGTTTTTTTGTTGTTGTTGTTGTTTTGTGGTTTGTTTGGGGTTTTTTGTTTTATGTTTTTTGTTGGGTTTGGTTTTTTAATTGTTAGGCCCCATTTAAGCAAGACAAAAAAGATGAAGAGGGTGCTTTGTCCCACTGTTCCTTGATACTGGGTCAATACTAGCTGACATGACTAAAAGCTGCTGAGACCTCAAACATTGAGGTCAATGTTTGTTGGTTTGGGGGTTTTTTTGGACATGGTCATTACTACTTACTTTTGGAAAAGGTGTCAGAGCCATCTCATTTTGTGCTGACCTCAAGCTGTGCTGAGATGTTCTTGGCACATCCACATTATAAAGTATTTCTATGGCCATCTGCTGTCTTGCTGGGCTTTTTTGGGACGGTGTGTGTGTGTTTTGATTTTGTTTTGCTTTGTTTAAACCAGAGATCTTTCTTTTTACTTAAAACTGGATGGAAATGTAATAAATTGAGTCTGCAGTATTGTCAAACAAGCATTTTGTTTTGTAAATCTGGTAATAATTATTAATGCTTACTAATTGGTTTTCACAGTTTTTTCCAAGTGTTAAGTAAAAAAGCAAATAACCCCAGAACATAATATTTTTTTAGCGTATGTATTGGATTAAATGTACGATCTGCCTTACAAAACTTTTTTTGTATTATAGTGGATGATGTAGTGGATGAAAGTGATGATAATGATGATGCTGAAACAGAGTCAGAAATTGAAACTGAAAATGATGATGACAAGGACCAACATTTTAAGGTTGGTATGAGACAAAACTAACAGGCAAATATCAGGCACAACAGTTCGTTATTTTTTGAAGCTGCTTGAATCATGTGTACAGCCATATGTTTTAAGTGCTAAAAGGACTTTGAGGAGATTTTCAGGGCAATTTCTAAAATTCAAAAAGCTCCTGAAACTTAAGGAATCATAGAATCATAGAATGGTTTGGGTTGGAAGGGACCTCACAGATCATCTAGTTCTAACCCCCTGCCATGGGCAAGGACACCCTCCACTAGACCACGTTGCCCAAAGCCCCATCCAACCTGGTCTTAAACACTTCCAGGGAGGGGGCATCCACAACCTCTCTGGGCAACCTCTTCCAGTGCCTCACCACCCTCACAGTAAAGAATTTCTTTCTAACATCTAACCTAAATCCACCCTTCTTCAGCTTAAACCCATTACCCCTTGTCCTGTCACTACACTCCCTGATAAATAGTCCCTCACCATCTTTCCTGTAGGCCCTTTCAGGTACTGGAAAGCCACAATTAGATCTCCCCGGAGCCTTCTCTTCTCCAGGCTGAACCTCTTTGCTTCACACCTGATGTGTCTGGAGTACAGTGGAACAGAACTGCAAACTTTCAGCAGTGTTCTGTTCCCAACTTGCATTTCTCTCAGCCCTCTCTTCCCACCTACGCTGCTCAGTATGCAGGAGCTGCTCTAACTTTTTCCATCATTCTGGACTGGGATTGACTAGGTCAGTGTTTCAGCAAGGTAACTTTCTGCCAGCTGTAAAGGCAGAGATCAGAGCTCACTGTTGTGTCCCTTTGGGAAGGTCTTGTTCTGCTCTCCAGCTGCCAGTCAGGACGTGAAAGGATATTTGGTAAGAACTGCCTCGTTCTGTATTTTTATGTTACATATATTCAGGAGTTAATTGAATTATCTGTCCACAGACTGGAATGATAAATTTTATTCAAGGCTCTCATGCGCCCTGATGATGGGAGTGTCTTTCTTAGAAGCAGTTATTCCTTTGTCACTGCAGTCAGATGAAATCTCCACACTCTAGGTTGCAATAATTATGCACAGATCGGATGTCTGTTACAGATATGTCACGTGATTATGCACAGATCTTATTAGGATGACGAGAATAGAGATGTTTGTAATATTTCTGTTGCAGTGGAGGCTTTGGCATACTAATAAAACTGAGCTGCTTAAACCTTCATGGTGAAAGGTGCAGTTCAGCTAATCTTAAAAAGTGATATTCAGCTTTTAAAGCGTGGCCGTGTCAGAAGAATAAAGATGAATGTAATTATTTTAGAAGTTCATTAATTCTGGATGCATGATTAATTTGTTCTGGTGCTCTTTCAGAATGATGATATTGAGACCGATATTAATAAACTGAAACCTAGACAGGAATTGGGAAGACCCATAGAAGAACTGAAAATGTATGAGCAATTTTTCCCAGAACTTTCAGAAAACTTTCAGGTAAAGTGTATGATTCCCAGTGCATTTCTTGTCACAACGGATTCACTCTGGAATACACTTTGACGTTCTTTTTTTGGGTGGATAGTTCCTCTAGCCAAAAAAAAGAGAGTCTGCAGTTTCTGTTCTAGAGCTACATCGAAGGGTGTTGTATAGTGAGTTATTTAGTTAAATGTTACAGGTTACTTTCATCTGACAGAGAAGGGGACTGTGCACAGATATAAAGGAAACCACTTTTCTGATGTCTGATTATTGCACGCAGCACAAAAGTAAAATATTAAGAAAGAAAGCAAGATTTCTGACAAAGAGTCACTGTGTTAGGTGTTTCCTTAAATGCTGTGCACCTCTAAAACAGTTGTTTAAAATATCTGGGGAATCACATTGACTTTATAGTTTGTTATTGGTGAACTACTTGTTCATTGCTTTGACACAATCTTCTTGTAAAAGCTGAAATTTAATTGCTATGTTTGTGTAAGTTTAAAACATAATAACTGTCGTCTTTCAAATCATACTTATGTTGGATTATTGCAAAACATACCTCAGGAGCAATGGAAGAGAAGGGTTTCTAATGAAACTTTACAAATTGTTTACTTATTTTTAATAAATATTTTTATTATTTTTTTCTCTTTTATTTTTTAAGGAATGTGATTTAGTTTCCAAGGAACCAAAGCCTTTTGTACCTGATACAAATCTGGGTGGGCCTATTGTTGTTCCTACAGCAGGAGAGGAGCACTCTGCTGAAGCAAACCAGGCAACAAAAGGAGTTGCTTTGAAGGAGAGCCATCCTTTATTGACAGAGGAATACAATAGAAGGCCAGCCTTTCTGGAACTACCAAAGAACGATAGCATCAAAGACAGTAGTTTACATCAGCAAAATGATGAAAGAAACGTGCTTCCATCATGCCAGTGTTTAACCCAAGAAATTGTGAAAGGCTTGGACAGAATCAGTCTGCAGAACAGTGCAAAAAATGATCAGTATTATGGTACAGGGTGTGTAATAAAGAAGGAAAGCAAAGCTAGCCTTACCACACTTGCTTGTAGTAAACCTTGCGAACATACTTCACCCTGTGGAAGTAGCCTCTTTGAAGGATCATCTGTGCAGCTGGGAAAACTCTGCTGCACTGGAGTGGATTCGGAGGAGGAGGATTCCAGATCTAGTTCATCAGGGGAGCAAGTTGTACTTGAGGTTTCTGATGTATCACCGGTTCATGACTGTGATCTTTATATTGAAATGGTAAAAACCACGAAATCTATTCCTGAATATTCAGAAGTGGCCTATCCAGATTATTTTGGCCATATTCCACCCCCATTTAAGGAGCCTATTCTTGAAAGGCCATATGGGGTGCAGAGGTGAGTTACCATACTGATTTTTTTGGTGGTGTTTTCGTTCCCGTAAGAAACATTCTTTAGGAGGAGATTAGCAGGCACATATACAATGTTTACTTTGGCATCTAAAACTATTTTTAGTGAAAAGTGTTTTGAAGGTAGGGGAGTAGGCATTGTCAATGCAGAGCCATAAACAAGAACACAATCTGATACTGTAATTACTAATTCTAATTCTGTAATTCAGTTTCTAAATATTTAATTTATAGTCTCTCTGCCTTCCCACCATCTCCCATCTAAATCTTACAGTTTGTAAAAAAAAAAAACCCACCAAAAACAACCCCCCCAAAAAAAACCCAAAAAAGAACCAAAACAAACCCAAAAACCCCCAACACACTCCAAAACCAAAACCCAAACCAATCCACAAAAAACCCCAACAAACAAAAAAACCCACCCCACTTGAATGCTCCATTCAGGTCTTAGCAAAGACAGAACAATGAAGAGTTTGAAGATACTTCATCTCTTCTCTGCTGTGCTAACAAAGCTATCTTTCAGGAAAATGTAGCGGGGAAAAATTAAAAAATGCACTTAAGTGTTTGGTTTTAGTGTTTGTAGTATGACAGAATTTAAATGTAACAAATGCTGAGGATGTAGTTGATGTTAGGTCCCGCAGAATAACACAACCACAGAATAAAAAAAATATAACAACAAAAAACTCAACACATCAACTCACCCATGTATTTCCTCATTGAGAGATATTAAAAGATGACAAAGGGTGATGTGACTTTTAAGAATAAATTGCAGAGGTGATATGAAGAGCTGGCTCATATGCATAGTAAGTTACTATAAAGACAAATGAGCATGTTAGCAGAACATGTAATAGTAGGTATGAGACCTTTCATAAGATTCTTCATATTTACATTTAGTTAAGATGATTAAGAAGTGTCTTAAGGTTGTATAATTGAAATCCTTCAGCTGTTTCACATGTGTGGTAAACAAGTGATCTTTCTAGTGAAATGACCAAGAGTTGAAACACTAATCATGTAATTACCATCATGATATAGAACCATTACTAGAAAGCACCATTCAGTGTTGAAGAATAATCTTCCCTATAAGCTTATTTTTTAGATAAATTCAGCTGATTTAGAAGAGAGATAGTCTTAAGTCAAAAATGCATAAGAACTGCATTTTGAGAAAATCTTGCAAATCTTAATGTATGTTTTTGTAGTACTTAATAATTCTGAAATTTCCTGACTAAAATTGATTGAACTCAGATCAAATTTGTCATTCCAGTTCTCATTCTTCTTAGATGTAAAGCACTGTATTAACTCTGACTTAAAATTAACAAACCTACTTGTGTGGTTACACATAAAGATGATTTCTAAACCTTGAGGGTAATTCTAGAGTACATTTTAACTTCAAAATGTTTTATTTTTGTTGTATTTTCTATACTGAAAGTAACTTTTTTAGGTCTTGTGAGAAACAAGAATGAAATATCAGGTAACATTGCTAAACTCGAATCAAAAATCCTGCATCACCTTTTCAAGGTACACTGTTCTAAGAATTCAGTTTTCTACAAATGACTGAGTTTTGTTACTGCAATGTAACAAATTTCTGAGAAGGGAACCTGTTTAAAAATGGCTTAATCATTTTAGGAATTTATAGGAAGGTGGTAAAACCAAGTTTGGTAGGGGACATGGAGAAGCTTTTAAGTCTTCTACAAACCTGTGTCCAAACTCTTGGCATTCAGTGGGATTTATGTTCTTAATGTAAACAGTTACTGCTCACCAGCTAAGTCTTCTTTAGAAAACATGGTTTCCTTAATGCATCCTTGTAATTTAAGAAAATGTGGGGAGCTGAGGTGAGGAGTAACTCATAGTTTTCACCAAATGTCTCACAAAATTATTATTGTTTGGAAAAATGTCCTTCAGAATAACTGAAGTGTTTTATATTATTCTACCTCTTAGTGAAGAAAATTATTATATAATTCAGTATCCTATAAATTTGAGTTTAGATTCCTACTTTTTTCCATTCCTTAAAATTTTAGGTTGTTGGTTCTTTTTGCTGTACACTTTAGTATTTTCTAATCACTTTAAGAATTTTCTAATCATCTGACATTTAGAAGTGATCATCGGGTAAAATCCACAAAGGACTGACCTATAAGCATGGAGCTCCACATCAACAATGGTTTATTTTTTTTTCCTTTAATTATCTTAAAATAGCTTATCTTTTCTCTTGATTTTTTCGGAGCCTGAAAATGTCCGCTACTACTTTTCCTTTTTGTGTGCATCTTGAATACCATTTCTTCTTTCCTTTTATCTACACTGGTTATTACCATGGTGTTTGAATGCCTGATAGTCATTAATGGATTTTGTCTTGGCAAAACTCCTGTGGTGATAGGAAGTATTATGACCCTTTAGAGCTGAGGCATGCTAAGATCTAAGGATTTGTGTAAGATCAAGTGCAAGATCAAAAATCTGTAGTTCTGCCCTGAGCTGAACCTGTTCAGATAGATTGTGGTGAGTCAGCCTTATTATAATTTTGTCAGTACATTGGACTTGTGACTTGTTTCCTTTTCCAGTTAGTTTTAATTTAATAAGAGGCGCTAGACTGGAGCACTTACCTTCTTTTTCTCATTTGTTCACAATATTTATTTTAATTAAATGGAGCCTGAACATACTTTACCACTCTATTCCTGTATTCTTCATTGTTAATCTGCCTCCTTTTCTTCTTATTGCAGGTGCTGTGCAAGCTTTTCCACACAGCTCTGCCACTATATTTCATTCTTAAACTGCAACACATTCTTACTTTTCCAAACCAGGACCTAGATACTGCTAGTTGTGCAATGTTTTATGATTTGGATAAACATACACCTGACATTTGGCTGACATCACCAAATTCATTCTTATTTATTACCTAGTCAATAAATGCACCTAGATCTCCAGAGGTGAAAAGCTAGTGCACTAACACACTCACTGCACAACCTGCTCTCTAAAACTCTCTTAATTTTTAGTTATGGTAGGATTCATGTAATTTACTAATGTTATCAAGTGCTGTCCTGAATTAAAGCATTAACATAAATAATGTTTGAGTAATTTCTGCTTCTACTGTAAAGTATGAAATGGTGCATTTTTGTCCATAAGATAAAACCCAGTGTGCATGAAAACTCAATTCCCTCACGTACAAATATAGGATGCAGTCAGCTGTGAATGCAGGTGTTTAAACTTAAGTGCACTTACAGTTTGTGCACATAAGTGGGGGCGAGGCTGAGGTCTCTCTGAAAAATCTGTCCCACTGTCTTCATGTCAACTTTGTTAGTTTTCATTGTTGTATGAGGGAAATTGTCTTTTATAATTGGAAACAGTATGCAACAGTTTAAATGAGAACTCTGCTTTTTATTTTAGGACAAAAATCTCTCAAGATATTGAAAGACTGATTCATCAAAATGACATTATAGACAGAGTTGTGTATGACCTTGATAATTTGAGGTAAGTTTTTACCCTTCTGGAAAAAAATACTCAGAAAATACTCGAAGCCTGTTCTACTTTCTCTGTGATATGATTTGTAATATTTAAAGCAGTACTGTTATGACAGACTTCAATGAAAGTTTCATCTGATGTAACCCCGTTTCTGCTATCCAGGCTGTATTTATAATAATCAAAATAATTTCAGAATTACTGAGTAAGGGCTAAAATAAATTTAATGAACTTGTTTTAGTTAAGTTTGTTTTGTTCATTTTGGTCCCTCATTTTTCTACTCATAGTTGTTCAGTACCAGAGGAAGCCGATGTTTTGAAGTTTAATTCCAAATTTGAATCTGGAAACCTGCGCAAAGTTATTCAGATCAGAAAGTAAGATATTTCAACTTTTCTTTCCATGCATAAGACCTTTTATTTCTGATTTCTGCCTCTTAAAAAAATTGATTTGTTTTTGTTAATCTTTAGAAATGAGTATGATCTAATTCTGAACTCGGATATAAATAGCAATCATTATCATCAGTGGTTTTACTTTGAAGTGAGTGGAATGAAAACTGGCATTGGTTACCGGTTTAACATCATCAACTGTGAAAAGTCAAACAGTCAGTTTAACTACGGTAAGATACATTTCCCATATGTTGAGAAGAAACATGTAGAAAAATATCTGTACTAGACAGCTCAGCTGTTTCCTTCCCTCCACCCTGGTATCAGTAGTATATTCATGTTGTCAGATCAGATTCTTTTTTAATACTATTACTAGAAAATGTTCTGACAAGTTTCAGTTAAAAAGAAAAAAAGTATCTTAAACCGCTGGGAGTCAGTTTTTAAAATGAAGTTTTGTTGTAAGTGAGGCCGAAACAGAAGAAATGTACTGGTGGCTGCAGCTAAAATTTGTCCTGAGACCATTGTTGGTGGGACAACACCAAAGCGTGTTAATCCACACAGGTGCAAGAAGAATGACAGCTGTCATTAATCCCTTTTGGAGTAGAGGTGTATTTTCAGATGTGAAAGTAAGCGGAGAGATTCTCAAAACAGTTTAGTCTTATTGATGGGAAGAGAGGCTGTATTATTTGAGAAGGAAAAGTAAGTCTCCTTTGAAATGCTGTCTTTCATAGGTGACCCTCGCAGTCTCCAGCAAGTAGCGTTTGCTGCTTGTACCTCATCCAAATGTACATGCTTACTTGAATATGCCTTTCTTCCACTTGTCTGGGAGGGCGGGTGGGGAGGGGGGGTGTCATCCAGCTTAAAACCATTTGTTTTGTGAGGGTTTTTTTTTTTCTGCTGGATTTTCTGAAATTTGTTTTTTAAGGAAGGGAGGAGAAGGTCCCCTTTCCCTCCCCCTAACCTCAAACTCTTGGGACAGAGAAACATCATATTCTTCTTTGTCATAATTGTACAATGCACATTGATAAAATCAAAGAATATCAGGTAGTTTGACCAGTAATAAGATGCTTTTAAATTACTTACTAATCTTTTGTGAGTTACCTTAGATCTTCATTCATATGTTGCATATACTTACCTGTTAGTTACTTTCAGTTTTTTTAAGTACGCTGACTGAATCAATCAATGTATTTGCCTAATTATATAACTAGTAAATAATGTTTAATTACTATGCATTTTTTTCTACTCTCAACTTCATATTAAGTATTCAATTTAAGTATACTCTCCAAAAAATAAAAACTTTAGAGAGTTACTGTTTAAAAAGAATAATATCCTGAAACATCAGTTATTTTCCAGCTATCCAGCTGAATGGATGATACCATTTTTTTTGTATTCTCCCTGAAGCTTTTTTTGTAATGATGAGTTCAATGGAGTGGGACTCAAGATTTACCATTAACGCTAACCACAGCTTTCATTTAAACATTTCATTTTGATCTTTCATAGGTCTGATTTTTTTTTTTCTTTAATTTGTTATTTTTTTGAAAATTAGGTTGTGATGAGGGGAATGGGGGAGAATCTTTTGTCACCTGGTTGAATGAGTGTACAGTACCCAGGCATTCATGAAAATACATTCTCTGATAGTAAATGAGTATAGGTAGTTCGAAGACTCGCATCTAAGTGTTAATGTGGTCCATTACTCTTAAGATCTTTATGTTTAATGCTAAGCATTAAAGTGAGATGCTTTTTTTTCTTTAAGGTATGCAGCCCCTGATGTATTCTGTTCAAGAAGCATTAAATTCTCGACCATGTTGGACTCGTGTTGGGACAGACATTTGTTACTATAAGTAAGTACACCAATCAAATGTACAGTAAATCTTACACTGAAGATTAGTATAAGGTACAATTTTTGAGAAGAAATGTTTGCTTCTGAGTTTGATAATTCTATTTTAGTAGTTCTGTGGGAACAGAGATCTCTTCCTGAGTTATGAAGAGGAACAGAAGTTACCGAAATATATAAGATTTCATTAGCATACTGCTACTACTTAAGCTGTTCATCTTTTATATTTTTATCAGAAATTGCATACAATTCCAGAGCAGCTTCTAAGGGAATGTATGTATGTGCTTACTTGAAACTTAATACTGACTTCCAGTAATACTGATCATGTGATGCTCCTGTATTCTATGGTGCAATCACTGTAGAGCAATCCTGGAACACAGGAAGAGATCGTACAGCATATCCATGCATTACCCTTCTTGGTAGATAGTTGTTTGCTTCTTTTTTGTTTTTGTTTATTTTGTTATTTGTTTTTCTTTACTTACCTTTTCCCAATACAAATAAGTGTGTATCACTGCTATCATAAAGTATCTTTACAAATGGTGGGAGCCAGTGTATTTAACCTGGATGGACACAGAATAGAAATACAATAATTAAAAATCTTCCTGGCTCTCAGAATGCATGTACAGGAATAACCGGTGATATGAAAAAAAATTCTAATGTGTTTATTACTTTCATTTTGCTCTTAGGAATCACTTTTCAAGAAGTTCAATTGCTGCTGGAGGTCAGAAAGGAAAATCTTACTACACAATTACGTTCACAGTGACTTTCCAACATAAAGATGATGTCTGCTACTTTGCTTATCATTATCCATATACATACTCAACTTTAAAGGTGAGAAGATAATGATCTGTTACATAGAAAATATTTCTACTTTTGGACAATGTGAAACATGAGCATTCATGAATGAATTAATTTCTTTCTATAAAGTTCAAATGCTCCTTAAAATGAACCATTTTCATAAAATATTAGTGTTTAGATTGGTGAAGAGTATAGGCTGTTCTAAAGAACAGCCCCTGGAAAAATAAAATTGATACTTATTTTCAGGCTAAATGGGTTTTCTGGGAATCATCATTCATAATTGACTGGAAATGGTGCTAATTGGATGAAGTATTTGTGTTTGAGTCAAATGACTCATATCCTGCTCTTACGTATACCTCTTTGTAACTGACCTATTCAAGTTACTATATTTAAGATAATTAGAGACTGGTTTAGGATAATGAATTGGCTTAAAGAAGCGTTGTGAAGCTTTTAGTACTAAGTGTAACTCTTGGTTAGAATATCTGTTGGTTGTTTTTGTCATAGCAATAAAAGCAAACTTGGGGATTCACTGACCAGTGTATAACAGCATTGAATGAAGCTTTTTACTAAGCAATAGTTGCTCTTGGAAGAAGTACCTGTGAAGAGATGTTACAAGCAGCTGCTGCCTCCAGCAGCTCTGGGGCCTGGCTGTTCCTCCTGCCTGGCTGCTGGAGCCCAGCCAAGGGACCCAGGGGTCTCCATCCCAGGCTGATGGACGTGCCTGTTGCTTTCCTGTTTGCTTGTAGGTTAAACCATTAGCCAGTCCGAGTGCGTATCCCCAAGACACAGAGAGAGACTCAGGCACACACACTTGCACAAATTCCACCTGCAGTCCCCCCAGCATGGCTGGCTACACAGACTTGCAGAGACAAGGTGCTGCCTTCAACAGCACCGATGCGTAACAGTACCAGGACTTGCCTCAAAGATAACTACAGACACCCAACTCCCTTTCCTCCTCTCCAACTGGTAAGGATTGCTGTTTGCTATTAAAAGTACACACCCACGCACTCTCTAGAATCACAAGAACACCCAAGTTTCTGGACGACTGGTGTGGCTCATCTGTGCCATGGCTCTGCCTAGATCGTGGTCTCTCTTGACTGCTGTGCAGACTTCCAACTTGCAGGCTAGTCCAGCCTGACACTCACTAGCAAACAGATGCGTGCACTTGCACACTCATCTCGCAGGCAGTCTGCACTTGTGGTTCCCTCCAGATGCTAGCATGGACTTTCTGCCTACCTGATACCTCTGTCTCAACTGGGGGCCACATACTCCCTGGGCAGTCCACCTTGAAGTTTGCTATCAAATTGCATACATACCCTGCCACACACACTAGCTTTGGGGCAGATGCATATGCTTGCTCCCCGCCCCCAGCAGCTGGTACCAGGCACATGGGCTCGTAACCCATATTCCTACTCTAGGTGCTGGCACTGAGACACACTCCCTTGCTTCACTCACCTTTATCACACCACTAGCTGTTTTTTGGGACACACACTGTTCTTGCCCCAGTGGCTGGACTCCAAGACCCTTACCAACTCCAGTAGCTAGCACTGAGACCCCCTCTTGCTTCCATTGCTGACACCGCAGACTGAAGGGTGCATCCACTGCCAACAGCTGCAGCTGCTGGCACCAAGTCCACTCGCTTCAATCCCAGCAGTAGCTGGCGCTTTGGACACAAAGTCTGTGGTGCCCAAGAGATGCTCCCAAGAGGTGTAGCCTCTCCAACTACCTGCTCACTCCAGTCGCTGACCCCAAATCTACTCGCACCTGTCTTGCTAGTTGCACCTAGTCCACACAGCACTTGCAGGTATAGGATAGAAAGAGATAGCCAAGGGCAACTGTAGGGATCAGGTGCATAAGTTTTGTATAGTCTCACGGGTCCCCCTTGAATATCCAAAATCCTCATGTTCCTTGTTTCCCCCCTGTCCCTCAGGTGGCCCTCTCCAAAGCTGTGCATGTAGATTCTTAATGGCCCATCTGTTAGAGACTGGAGACTTTTTGGTCACTGCTATTGTTTTTGTTATGTCTCCTCTACCAGGATTGTTTTTCTCTGTTCCTGTTTATTGCTTCTTCTTTTACTTATTATCCCCTTTGGTACTGAAAAGGTCCCTGATCAAATAACCTTAATGAAATAGAGGTTCTTACCTTCCGCATACCTTTACAGTATCATCTGGTAGAAAATAATCTATCCTCTGTGCCTTCGTCTTCCTTGAAGCAGCTGGAAAGATAGACTCTATAAAGAGAAATATTCAGAGATGTAGAGAATGATATTTCTTGGTCAAAATTACGATGGAAACTTGAACATTGTTTAGAACAACAAAAAGATCGATTAAATGGTACCTGTGGAATACACTGTGGTCCATGACTGCAAAAGATTTGAAGTATTTTTTCATTATTTTTGGGATGAAGATGCATCTTCAGAAGCTGGAATCTATGCACAACCCTCAACAGATATATTTTCGACAAGACGTTCTCTGTGAGACCCTGGCTGGCAACAGTTGTCCCTTAATCACTATTACAGCCATGCCAGAGTCCAATTACTATGAACATATCTGTCAGTTCAGTAAGTATGATTTTTCTTTCTCATCAACTGAAAATAATGTAAATTAGCATTAACTGTTGTGCATTGTAAAAATAGCAATGTAAAATAAAGTTAATGAATTCAATGAAATTAATAGGTATCAATATTCAGGATTTGCTTAGTATTTAGTAATATTTATTTGTGGTAGTCAAATTAGGATATTTATATCTGGATATATAAGACTATATATACAATACTTGTTGGAAAAAAATACCTGACTTCTGAGTAACTTTTTTTTCTCCAAATGCTTAGGTTATTTACTTGTCAAAAAATCTTTCATAAAGCCAGTATCTAAGCTACTGCAATTTTAAAGGAGCTTTGGTTATGATACCATTCCTGGTTTGTTCCTCCACCCCAGTGTTTTTCTTGACTATTGGAAAAAAAAGCCATCAAAGTCCTTATATCATAATTGCCAGCTCACATTAGTTGTGACTACGCAATTGATTGAATTTAAAGCTCCATTGTGAGAGTTCTGTAATTAGCAGTCCTTGTAACAATATTCTGGCAAGCTCTATCAATAAAACTGATACTAAATAACACTCCCAAATACTACAGTTTGCATTGTAATAAATGAAGCTGACTATCATCTCTTTTTCAATTAACAAACTGTTTACTTAGCTGGTATCATATTTTGCAACTTCTATGCATACTTCTTCTAGGGAATCGTCCTTATGTTTTCCTGTCTGCTCGTGTACATCCTGGAGAGACTAATGCAAGCTGGGTTATGAAGGGAACGCTGGAATACCTTATGAGCAATAATCCAAGTGCCCAATGTTTACGAGAATCTTATATTTTCAAAATTATTCCCATGCTCAATCCAGATGGTGTCATCAATGGAAAGTAAGCATAAGTTTACTCACAAATGTGTAACCTGCACTACTAAGTCGTTGCAGCTATTATTTAAAAAAAAAAATCTAAACTACTCCTGGAAACATAAAAATGCAATACTTAATGTGAAAAAATCCCACATTTACAAAATTGCTAGGACATTTCCACTTTTTGGCTTTTTAAAGGCAGATGCATCATTCCATGAATTTCAGTTCTATAAAAAGTATTTTCAGTTGTTCGTGGATGATAACAATTCCTATGTGATTTGACATTGCACTTTAATTGTCTCTCTTAACTACAGTCTTGGATAGGTGTAAAGAGTTGTATGAGAGCAGAGCTGCGTTTAGGAAAGGCTAAACAAGTTCATGCTTCTCATGTAAAATAGCAGTCCTTGTATCTGAGAAAGCTTTTTATGTTATTTTTCTCCTTTTTTAATTACAGTTTTTAGAAGGATGTTATGGAAATGGCTGTTGTCAAGTGTTACTAAAAGGGGGAAAGTTAATAGGTGTTCAAGAAAAAAGAGTAAGAGAGTATCCTGATTAATTAAAGTTATTAATGGTAATTCTTTCACTACCACTTTTCTTAATAAATTTGAGGGATATTTCAGAACCTTTTGATACTTCTATGAATAAGCATTCAACAGTCTATATTTACTTGTTTACAGGGAATTCATATGAAATGGAAATTTTGGTATGGTGAATCTACAGTTCCTTCTTACCCTAATTATGGGTAGTGTTTTAACAGATTTTGTGAATAATAAAAATCAAACCAGTTACGGATTTGAGTAGAACCCTGTCTTTATATATATATAGAACACCTAGAATTAAATCATTCAGAATACAAGTGAAAGTTGTATTAAAAGACAGTTAAGAAATCTGTCCCAGCAGACACAATGTAAGGACAAATGTACTGAAGATGACTGCATGAACGTGAATTTCTGCAAATTTAAAAGTTCTTGCTGATAGTTGACTGAATACAGAGATTTTCTTTATTTGTTCACTGAGGTTTTTTGGTTGTTGTTTTGGTTTTCGTTTTTTCTTTCTTTTTCTCACAGCTACTTGTCTCCTAACAACCTCGTGTTTCAAGTCTTAGATTTCTGGTTGACATTAGGCTGTATTACAGAAGTCAAGACACCGAAACTGTAGAGATACCATATATTCGAAATTACTGATTTTGAACTAGCATTTGAATAGAAACACAAGCCTTCAGTTTCAACAGCAAATTAGCAAGATTACAGTTAACTTCATATAAGAAGCTACTTCTAATTTATTTTTAGATTTTCTCTAACAGAACTTAAAAAGCCCCAAACACTTCTGTTATTTGGCATATTAGAAAACTGAAGTTTGTTTCTTACCAGACTCCTTCCAAAGAAGCAGTGGTGACAAGGAAAACTTGAGGTGGGGGGAGGCTTATTTAAAAGTATGATAATACAGACTACATCATGCGTTTTTCCACCCCCCCACAATAGCCACCGTTGCTCTTTAAGTGGAGAAGATTTAAACAGACAGTGGCAAAATCCAAATCCAGATCTGCATCCCACTATTTACCATGCTAAAGGGTTACTGCAATATCTGGCTGCTATAAAACGTTTACCTTTGGTGAGTATGTGTGTGTAAGCAATTCTGAATCTTTTTAACCTTGTCTGTATAGCTAGTCTGTAAAGTAAACATTTTAATATGGTCCTGTGAACTGTGTCACTCTTATTTGACTTGGAGAACTGGTCTTCCACAAACCTTTAGATCTAAACCTGTTTCCTTTGCTATGGTAGGTTAATCTTCCTTAGATGAATCCTATGTTTTTTGTCTTAATGCACAAGTTAATTATATAAGGAGTTGTGTTTCCTAATTCTTTGGAACTTTCAACAGTAGAAACAAAAAATTGTATCTGTTCTTTCTATGACTTTTATAAAATGTTAATTCCATATGCCTCGGCTTTATTTTCTCAAATGATCTATTGTAGGTCTACTGTGATTATCATGGTCACTCTCGTAAAAAGAATGTATTTATGTATGGCTGCAGCATCAAAGAGACAATGTGGCACACAAATGTTAATGCTGCCTCTTGTGATGTGATGGAAGACCTTGGTTACAGGGTAAGTTTGACACCTGTACCTTTTTTACTTGGCATGAATTTGGAATATACTTTTCCAATAACTTCCCAATGTTATTCTGTGCCCATAATGAATATAGCATAGGCAAACTTCTTTAAAATGATCTCTTCTTATTTCATGAGTATACTTAAAAATATTTTGAGAGCTTTAAACATTGTACACTAATGCAGCTAAAGATCTAATGTTAGTAGAGTGCTTTATTTTTTTAAATCCAAAAGATTTAAAGAATTACGTGGTACCTGTTTCTTCTGTGTAACTCCCCTGCCGCCTTGTGGCTACTGCAAATCTGTGCAACCTAATGTGTCCAAACCCCTTGGTTTTTTGAGGGGATGCAGAGTTAAGCTTGAAAAGCGTGTGAATGCATATTAAAACACTTGTTACACATCCACGCATGTAAATGAGTACAGATGCTTTCAGAATTTTTTTATCAAACCTCTCATTTTTTTAATGCCATCTATCGCTCCTTGATTTTCTTGTGTGATTTCCTGGATGCTGAGTCTGATGCCATTCGCATCTGCTGCCCAGCATGCGTATATGGGGGTTTGTCACTTCAGCCTGTATTGCCATGCCACACAAAAGACAATAGTCAGTAAGAATTGTGGGAAAAAGCCTTTTGGCTTGGAAAAAGCCTTGAACTGAAACATTTGGGCAAGCTTAAGCTAATAATGGTATACGTACTACCAAAATAGCCATGTGTTGTGGCATAACTGGTACAAAAAAAACCTGGAAAGGATTTAGTCATTTAGCATTATTCAAATACATACATTTGCATAACTGTTTCTTGCCTTTTTCTGAAGCTGTCATGTGAACAGTTATATTGAACTTTGATTCATGTACTTGAAGTTTGAAGAACTTTGCTGAATATGAATGAATTTTATGTATTAATAAAATATTGCCTGTGTTAGGTCTGCAAATTGGATTGTTGAAACAGTCTGAAAATGAATTAAATTAAATAATTATATAGGGTATGAGCAAAGTTAGCTCGTTGAATAGGAGGAGATGTTGATCACCTGAAGCATTCTTTTGTATCCTGATTCTTAGCCACATGTTTAACAATTTTAGTGATTGAATCTGAAAAAGAGGATTTTAATAAGTAGGAAATGGCAGACCTTTTGTTACTTGAACACACTGGGTTTTGAAAACTCAAGGTGGAGAAATGTTTTCATATTTATTCCTTTAAATCAAATTGCAAGAAAATTTTCTGATAACAGTTTGTGATGGAATATTCCCCTCCCCTCTGCTTCCATAAGTGAAATAAAAGAATCACTGTATTTTTCAAATTGCTGTCCTGCAGGCACTCCCCAAGATCCTGAGTCAAACTGCCCCAGCATTCTGCATGGGCAGCTGCAGCTTTGTAGTGGAAAAGTCCAAGGAATCAACAGCGCGAGTTGTTGTCTGGAGAGAGATAGGAGTACAAAGGAGCTACACAATGGAAAGCACATTATGTGGATGTGACCAGGGCAAATATAAGGTAAGAAAATATATCAGTTAAACTGTTCTTGCTTAGTAATTTCTTCTATTTGCACTGGTATCTTGTTCTATAACCCAACTTGCTTGCTTGCTTTAAACTTCTAAAACTCTAAGATTTCTGTTTACACTAATCTTAGAGTGAAATTGCATAATTTGCACTACTATAGGCTGCATAGAAGTCTTCATCTGTCACTTAACCCCCCCCATGCACACAGAGTATGTTATGCTTATTGGCTGTTTTAACAAAAGTAGTATTAATTATTGCTTGTAACACATACATATGCATGTAGATAAAAAATCAGAACTGTTCTTTCCAGTAGATTATGCCAATAGTAGAATAAAAATTTCCTTTACACATGGCAATTTCTCACTTCACCGTGGCAGTTCATGGTTCGTCAGCAGGTATTTAGTAGTGTCCCTTACAGAATTTTCCTGTGTAACTGCAGAAACAGGCTTATAAATCAAAACACTTTCATATCATGTTACCAGAACTACAAATTACACATCTCATTGTTACTCATCATAGTTGTTTGGCTTCTTGACTTAAAACATGTTTTCAATTTGTGTCCTTCAAAAGCATTAACAGGGCTGGCTATTTGAAAAGAAAAGGTAGCCCTGTTCATAGTTTCTCATATTCATAGGGAAAAAGGGGGAGAACCACCACCCTAACATCTGATCTTCAACTTCTGCCACTGGATTAATTTAGCTACAAAGTGAAGCAAGATTTTAAAGTGAACAGTCATGGAAGAAATCACAGTTTCCTCTGCTTGAAAATAGAGTTTAGGAATTCTAATCAAGAAAATCACCACAAGACTGAAATACAGTGCTTGACAAAAAGAGGATCAGAAGGGTGGGATCAAGGGTAAGGGAGCAAGACCAAAAAAAAGTTGGAACAGAGTATATTTAATGTATTAATGTATGCACCAACACCCATGCTTATCTCCCTAGGCAGAACAAAGACAGATATTTTGGCAGGAATTTCAGTAGGACCGTAACTACTAAATGGACAAGTTCATTTTGTCAATTAACAACAGA